ATACTCATATATACTCTTATAGATCATCCACACAGGGGTAGGGACCAGTCTTGGTTGACTGGGAGTAGACTCTGGCGAAGGTGCATTTATCTAGCACCCTCTATATTCTAGGCACTGAGCCAGGAACCTTTTCTCATCATCTTGTCTAAGCATAATGACATACCTTTGAGGACTGTTATTCCATGTCAATGTGGTGACAGCTTTGAATAATGGCAGAGCTCGGGAGGGGGGCACATGTACCCACAGAAGTCCATGGGAAAGCTGCCAGGCTGGCCTGACAAAAAGGTAGACTAGCTGCTATTCTTTAATGGAATGTAATATAAAGTAATGTTGTTGAATGCCGTGAAGTCGGTTCTGACATAGAGACCTGTATAGGGTTTCCAAGAAGTGACTAGTGGATCTGAACTGTCAATCTTGTGGCTAACAGTCCCGTTCTTATTCTAAGGCACCACAGGAGGACTCCATAAAGTATGTAATATAATGTAATCAGCTTCCATAATGTAAGGAATAAAATGTAATCACCCTCCATAATGTAATGTTATATAATGTAATGAAACATAACGTAATCTACTTCAATAATGGAATGTAACCTAATGTAAGTACCCTCTACAAGGTGATGTGGTACAATGTAACACAATGTAACCACCATTCACAGGTGATGTGATACAATATAACACAATGTAACTGCTCCCCCCCAGGATGATGTAATACAATGCAATCCAATGTAATCCAATATAAATACCCTCCACAAGGTGATGTAATGTAAAGCAATCCCCTAACATAATGTAAGGTGATATAATAGAATTATCCTCCGTAATGTGATGCAATGCAACTTTGTTGTTGTTGTTGTTATGTGCTATCAAGTTGGATCCAACTCCTAGTGATCCTATATAAGGTTTCTGAAGTTATAAATCTTTGCAGAAGCAGAAAGCCTCATCTTTCTCCTATGAAGCAGCTGGTAGACTTGAATCACTGACTTTGTGGTATGTAGTCCAGTGCTTATCATGTGGAGCCACCGCACTCTCCAATACAATGCATTCACCCTCTATAAAATAATGTACTGTACTGACCCCCCATGATATAATGTAACATATCACCCAACATAATTAGTATAAGATAAATGTACTGCCCCCAATGATGTAATGTAACATGTCACCCAACATAATGTAGTATAAGGTAATGTACTGTAATGGGATCTAACGGGATGTGCTCAGTCACTTGATAGGGACGTTCCCTTGAGGTGGGGTTTGCCTCCAGGGGACAGATATTACAGGGATTGGCTTTCTCTGCTCTGTACTCTTCCAATCATCTGACCTGCAGATCTTGTGTCACCAGGCTGCACGAGTCTACCCCTAACCTGCAGGACACCAACCCCTCCCTGTCTGTACGTGCACATAGACCTCATGGGTCTGTTGTCTGAGAAGCCCGCCAGTGACACTCACCTTCTCGAGCTCTGCTTTGTGCACGGGGGAACTGGACGGAGGTGGGCATTCTGAGTCCACGGGCCCGCTGCAGCCGCTGTAGACTTCCTTTATCACCTAGAATAAGCAGACAGGTTTGAGTGTACCGAGAGCAAAGAGAGGTAAATACAGGGCTCACCCCAGAGGGAGCTGGGCAGAGGCAGCAGCATGTGGTGGGAAACCCCATGGACTCAAAGCCCCTGAGCAGAGCTCAGTCCACCACATGGTTATTAGATGCCAGATACAAACCCAGTGAACTCAGTGTATGTGTGGGTGAGGGGGACAATGCAGATGGCCAGAGTGCCCACCCCAGTATCACATCCACACAGCTGTTGTTGGGTGTCCTTGAGTCGATGCCAACTCCTAGTGACCCCAGTGGACAGAGAGGAACTGCTCCCACAGGATTTGCAGGGCTGTCATCTTTACGGACTAGATCACCAAGTATAAAACCTCTAGGTGGGTTTGAACACTCAACTTTTTGGCTAGCAGCCAAGTGCTTAACAGTTGTGTCCCCATGGCTCATTTAAAAAGAGAACAGTTGTTGAGTGAATTCTGACTCAGGGAGACCCCACACAAGTCGGGGTTTTGGTGGCTGTGAACTTTTGTCAGTGTATTACCAGGACTTTCTTCTCAGGTACGTCTGGGTGGATTCAAACCATCAGCCTTGTGGTTCGTAGCTGAGCGCCTCACTGTTGGCACTACCATTTCCCTATATTCATAATCAATGATGACTCCCCAGAAGATGAATGGGCCAGTGCTGAGCGCTACAGAGAAGACGAGGACAGCGTCACGTGGCCAAAGGATCAGGAAAGGTCAGACTGGGATCACACTAGAGGTCAGTGCCCAGAGGGGGAACCCTAGGAAGAATGAGAGGGAACAGGTCCTGGGCAGAGGGGGCAGTGTGAGTTATCTGGGGAGCAGGTGGGCAGTAGCTGTGTAGTAGCACATAGGGGGAGGGGTGCAGGAGTCAGACCAGGTAGAGCTGCGCAGCCAGGATCCTCCAGAAGCTCAGTTAGAAATAGGGGGGCACTCCAAGTGGGGGAGCAGCTGGTTTTATATTCTGGAAGCAAAATAACACAGGGCCAAGATCGGGGGGCTCAAAGCCACACTGCCTGGTTCCATTTGGACTTGGGGTTTGCTTAGGCAAATTAACGAACCTCTCTGCACTTCACTGTCCCCACCTGGAAAATGCAGATACCTTTAGAACAATAAAATGAAACAAAACAACCAAAGCACTTGTCATCTAGCAGGCTGTAGTTCACGGTGACCCCACATGTGTGTGTCAGAGCAGCACTGTACTCCAGAGTTCCCAGTGGCTGCTTTTTACAAGAAGATTGCCAGGCCTTTCTTCTGAGGTGCTGCTGGGTGGACTCGAACCACCGCCCTTTCAGTTAGCAGACAAACACAATCACCATTTGCCCCATGCAGGGCTCCTAGATGGCACTAGGACAGTGGTGTGCTTCGTTATTATAAAGTCTGAGAGTTGCTCTGGCTGTTCTGTGAATAAGAATTCTATAGGAATGAAAAACAAGTGCATTCAAAGCAGTAAAGAGATACCACCACAGATCGATCAGAATGGCTGAAATACAAGACATCGACACTACCCAGTGCTGGGGAGAATGGAGAAGAAGGGGAAGGCATTCTCATTCCCTGCTGGTGGGAACAGAGACTGTGGAGGAAGGCCTGACAGTTCTTACAAAGCTCCCAGGTATTTCCATACATGAGAGAAAAACATATGTCCACACAAAAGCCTTCACATGGATGTTTACAGCAGCTTTATTCATAACTCCCCAAAATTTGAAACAGCCTAGATAGGTAAATGGGTAAACCATGGTCCACTCATACAGTCGAGACACAAGAAGACATGGAAAAGTAGTCAGTTTAGAAAGGCTAAGTATTGAATGATTACAACTATGTAACATTTTGGAAAAGGCAAAACTATAGAGACAGTGAAAAGACCAATAGTAGCCAGGGGCTCACAGATACAGAGGTGGGAACAAAAAGGAAAGCACAGGGCATTTTCAGGGCAGGGAAACTATTCTACAGGACACTGTAAGGGTGGACATGTGACATGAGGGACGTGTCCAAACCCACAGGGCTGCGTACATACAATAAACTGTGGACTCCAGCAATGTATCTGAATCTGCTCATCACTGGCAACAATGTATCT